CTGTCATTTAACTGAACCGCAAGAGAAAAGAGCAGAATAGAAGGACTTTCATGTTTTTCAGCATTAAAGTTTAACAGAAAAAAAACAAAAGATTAAATCCTACGTTTTTCCATAATTTCCCTCGTTTACCATTAAACCAACATCGCTGTTTGTAACACGTTCTTTATTTGGAAAACAAAAACGTGTGATACAGTGAGAATGATTTGTTCAAACTGCGACGCTCCTCCAGAGTTTAACAGCCACTGACACCGTCGTCTGGAACTTTGTGCTTCGTCTCATGGTCTTCCTCAGCTGATGCCGTTATCAGTCACCTGCTGCCACATACTGGGATCACATGATGGCAAACGCTGCCTTCACCATCTTATAGGTTTGAAAGCTGCTGAGGCCCGCCATGACGCTGTCCTTCCTGCCCTCTGCTTAGTATCGCTAATATTAATATTAATAGGCCAAAGGAACTGGATGCACCTCGAGTCACTTTACTGTCACGTCCAGTGCATGAATTTCAATAATGTCTGTATATGAAATACTGAGAGAGTCTGGAGCTCTGGAGATGTCTCCAGTTGTGCTGTTTGTAATTGTGTGTTTGTGTCATTGCAGGTCTCTGGCTCTGGGAACAAGGACCGGCTATAAGCTGTTTTCTCTGACCACGGTGGAAAAACTGGACTGCATCCATGAGAGTGGTGAGTATGGAGCTTATGGAGGATTAGCCAGAAGAAACCTGCGATTGTTCTTGTTTTCCTCTTGTAGAGAAGCAGCTTTTTTATGTGTGATTAAACTGTCTTTCAACACCGCAAGTGTTTATGCTCGACTAGTTCGTCCAACCAGCAGCCCACTAGTAATGTCACGGCGCCACTTTAAAGTTTGGCCCATGATGGTTCTGGCCTGAAAATTTAGTCTCAAACTGGACCAAGACACAGGAACCGCTGACCGTTATATCGCAGGTAGTTGCATGTGTTTGAAGATGGCGGACAGCGTGACCTCAAGCCCCGTAAAAACTCAACTTGTAGGAACGGTAAGGTAAAATAAAAACTATATTCACCACCACCAAGCATCTATTTCTACCCCATGGTCCTCAGAAGTATCTCTAGTTCCTGATGATGGAAACTCTTCAGTGCTGTTTAGCGAGACAAACCTGGAATCAGTAGAAAATGTGGTACGGCCCGCTTTGGCAAGTCATCACAAAGCAGCTGCGTCTGTCTCTGGACGGTGTTGAAACATCTTTGGATAATGACTCCTCCAACAACCAGGATTTGTTTTTTCAGCAACGCAAAATTTTGACCCTATTTTTCTCTAAAACTAGTAAATGTGGTTCGATCCACTTTAACCCCCTCAAATATGAACATTTTGACTTTAGCTGTGTTCACAACTTTGTACCAACTAATATGTTTGAAGGAAACTGAACCCTTAACCTTAATAAATCTTAATTTAAGTTTACTGGTCATACAGACATTTTTATTTTAAACAAATTCATCATGTGCAATCAAAATCTTTTTAAACCTTAAGTCTTGGTTCTCACAGAGATCCCACAGTCTCCAAATGTCTGTCAGGCTGCTGTAGCACTGTAGCATCGCACTGTGTGGAAACAGGTTTATTCTGATGTGAAATCTCCAGACGTTAGACGGGCTGTGTTAGTTTTGAGGGAAGATTTCTCTGGTACTTGTATTCTTATTTTATTTACTTTTATTTTTTACTTTTTATTTTTATTCTTATTTGGAATTACTTGTTTACTTTAACTGTTTTGCTTGCTTTAACTGTACTCCGGCAAAACAATTTCCTTCGGGATGAATAAAGTTTATCTTTATCTTTATCTTTAAGATTTGCGGTAGTTTAGATTTCTGCATGGAAGTGAGAGTACGCAGAAGTCGGCATTAAAACAGCACCGTCGCTGGCTGCTTTTCCCGCTCGATGTTCTTCCCAGCAGAGACTCCAGATGTCTACATCGTGGAGCGCCTGTTCTCCAGCAGTCTGGTTGTCGTGGTGAGCACCGCCATGCCACAGCGCATGAACATCTACCACTTCAAGAAGGGGACGGAGATCTGCAACTACAGCTACCCCGACAACATCCTCGCCGTCAAGCTCAACAGACAGGTGAGCGTTTTTGAAACATCCAAGACCTTCAGTGTCACACATCAGAGTCTGTGTGTGACAGATGGACGTAGCCTTCAGGTCTGAACAACAAAGCCAATGCCATTCTTTCTAAAAGTCAGCAGGGGGCGACTCCTCTGGTTGCAAAAATAATCGTTTGCATAGAAATCTACTAAAATGACCCTGTTCCTAACTTGATCTGTGACCTCAGTAAAGATTCTCCTAATGAGCTCCTTCTCTGCTAGTTTGTAGACTTTGTGAACACATTGGTCCTGTTATCTTGTTGATGTCTTATTGACAGGTTGCCACTGTACAGTAGTTTAGTGGCCTTCACTCCATCAATCACCTGTAACGGTTTCAGAAGGACCAAATGAGGCCTTAACGAACCCCATTGTGTCAGGGGGGCACTAACGACTCACATAACGACGGGGAGGAGCAACAAACCCCCAATTAAAACCCAAACTCAAGTGTAAATGGCTCCTTAAGGATATAAGTATCTGGATCTCCCAGTTAGTCAGTGAGAACTGATGAAGCGTCTTGGATGAGAGGTGGAACGTCTTCAAGGAACTCAAGCAAGTCCAGTTGCTACGATTAAACTACGAGTCTTTACATTTATTAATCAAGGCACGCTGTGGCTCTTAGTCCACAACAAACCACCTTTCTTCTCCATCTCCTGTGAATGTACAGACCGCTTCATCTGTAAAATCAGTCAGTTTACCTAATATTGGCTCTACAGCAGACTTTCTAGTGTTTCTAACTGACTGTAAAGTTTACATCCACTTATATAGACCGCATGTTTTCGTTGCAGTTTCCGATGACTCCTTTAACTCAGAATTTTCCATGATGTAGTCATTGAAACACAAAAAACGGTCGAGCATTTTGGCCGGAACGTCCCAATGTAAAGGTTAAAGAAGTCTTCTGTCTCGTTCCGCACGTCTTTGTTAAAACTAAGGAACTGTGAGACCCCTGTAGCGACACAACACGTGGACAGATCCGATCTCTTAACGTTAGAATGACTTGTGAAGTTTGTTGTCTCTGAGAGCAGCAGGTGAAACCGCAGCGTTTTCAGAAATGAATTGTTGATGGCTGAGATGTTCTCCTGTGATTCTGCTGATGAATGACCTGAGGGCTGCCGTGTCCTGCAGAGACTAGTGGTGTGCCTTGAAGAGTCCATTTATATCCACAACATCAAAGACATGAAGCTGCTCAAGACTCTGCTCAACACTCCGTCCAACCCCTCAGGTGAGACAGTAACAGAATAGTTTACTACAACCTTACTGGCCGTCGTTCCTCTTGGTTATAACAGTACTTTGACTCCCCCTAATTCATCACAACATAAAACAAGAGTGTTGCGATGAATGGGAAGTAAATATATTAATACACTACCTGAACTCTTTTTATCTGCAGGTCTCTGTGCTCTTTCCATCACTCATTCCAACTCCTACCTGGCGTATCCGGGCAGCTCCAGCACCGGGGAGGTCGTAGTGTACGACGCCATCGGTTTGGTAAGAAACACGTCAGATGCCACATCTCTGTCTGAGGGATTTAAAATGGAATCAGCTGATTTTAGGTGGATGTGCTTCGGTGTCAGAGTCCTGCAAAACCTGACAAGAACGTTTCCTCCAACATTATCCACTGTGTGACCTTGTGCAAGTGTAGTTGAAGGACCAGCTGGTTGGTCCATCAGTTAGTCTGTCAGTTGTTCAGTCAACCAATCAGTTGGTCGTCATTCAGTCGGTCGGTCAGTCAGTGGATTTCATTGTTATTCGTTATTCTACCCAGTTGTCAATGACCGAAAGAACAAGATCGCGGATACAAGCGGCCGAAATGAGTTTCCTCCACAGGGTGGCCGGGCGCTCCCTTAGAGATCGGGTGAGGAGCTCAGTCACGAGGGAGGAGCTCGGAGTAGAGCCGCTGCTCCTCCACGTCGAAAGAAGCCAGCTGAGGTGGCTCGGGCATCTTTTCCAGATGCCTCCTGGACGCCTCCCTGGGGAGGTGTTCCGGGCGCGTCCCACCGGGAGGAGGCCTCGGGGAAGACCCAGGACATGTTGGAGAGATTATGTCTCTCCACTGGCCTGGGAACGCCTAGGGGTCCCCCTGGAAGAGCTGGAGGAGGTGTGTGCGGATCGGGAAGTCTGGGCGGCTCTGCTCAGGCTGCTGCCTCCACGACCCGACTCTGGATAAGCGGGAGAAGATGGATGGATGGATTCTACCCAGTTGTGTGTTGTTGCCTGCAGCTGTGTCACATCTTCGTTCTTCCTTTTCTTTCCTTTGTGTTTGTTCCTGTACTGTGGCAGAGAAGTTGGTTTTTGTGGGACCGTCCAGATCATGAGCCTCGTTGATTTATGTGAGCCTGCTCCACTGGAGGCCTGAGAAGGAGTTTTTTCTTTTTTTATGTGGTTTTTGGGCTTTTTGCCTTTATTTAGAGCAGTAGAGATAGACAGGAAGGGGGGAGGAGAATGGGGAGAGACCTGCAGCAAAGAGTTAAACCCACAACTACTGCGTCTGGGAACTACAGCTCCTGTTCATAGGTCGCCCGCTCAGCGAGGTGAGCTGTAGGGGCACCCCTTCATCATTTTCCTAAAGAAGCAAGACTGTCATGTAGGACTACATGAGAGCTCCCCACAGCATGATGAGTACGTAACCTAACCCACAGGACACCCACCTCGCTACGGCATCCCACCGTGTCCATGCAGCCAGACGGTTTGTTTTCAGAGTTCTTCAATGCAGGTTTTTATCTTCACACAGTATTTACCTGCATATAAAACATGTACATATATACTGTGCTACACTGTGTGCTGTGCTTTAGATCAGTGCCATGCTGTGTTAACACTTTCACACTGAAGTTGACCTGAAACAGAACTCACCACCAGAGCAGGATTAACTCAGAGGACAGCTGTGACACTGTTGTTGCTGATGAACTTTTCTCTGAAGCGGTTTCTTTTGAGGTCTTCTTGTCGTCTTTCAGTCGTCCGTCTTTTATTGTCCAACGGGTGGTGATGCCCTAAAACATACAGTAAAGTCTGAAGAACACAGATTGTGCTCCAGTTAGAAAGTAGAACATGATATTCAAGCTGTGCCAGTTGTAAAGATAAGACTTGTGATAATGTGGTGACGAACACGATACCAGGAAACACAACAGTCTGCTGTGTTTGTTCCCAGAGATGAGCTCCTGTTGTTCTCCTCTGACCGATGAGACCACGTTGTGTTTTTAAGCTGCGCTCGGGTTTGTTTTTACCTGGAAATGCCTCATCTGACTTCAGTCACACGCTGCTCTGTGAACAAAGAACGCGTTCATTCACTGTGTGATGCTTCGTACCGTCTTTCACAGAAAAAACTCCAGTTAAATGGTTGCACACGTCTTTTGTGGCTGCAGAGTAACGCACAGCTTGTGTCATTTCAGAACACTGTCACTGTGATCCCGGCTCACGACAGTCCTCTAGCAGCTCTCTCCTTCAACGCCTCGGCCACCAAGCTTGCCAGCGCCTCAGAGAGGGTAAGAAAACCTGCCACAGAACCCACCAACCTGCTGAAGTCCTAGAACCTGAGACAGGATCTTAGGTCCAACGTCCTGTCGTGGAGGCTCATGTTCCCCACAGAATGAATGCTCCTCACTGTGATGAGCTTTCCCACCATCCACTCTCTGACCAGAACTTTCATCCCTTGAAAGTGATGTCAAAAGCCTTTGGTTGGATAAATTCTGTTATGAGTTACAACGTTTATGATTAGAAATGACGCTGAAGATCTTCACTCTGGATCTAAACTATGCTCACACGTGTGGAGCTCAGTAAAGATAATCGGACTTTATATGTCTCCGCAGGGCACCGTCATCCGAGTCTTCTCTGTTCCTGAAGGATTACGTCTGTTCGAATTCCGCCGAGGCATGAAGAGGTCAGAGTTGTCCAACATCCTTTAAGATCTGCAGCTTGTAGACGATCTGAAGTGAAAGTGAAACTGAGCGGAAAGCTGAAGATGTAAAGCTCAGCAAATAGCCAGAACAGATGAATAGATCGTGTTTTCATTTGCATACTAAAGACTTTGGCCCTAAATTACATGCTTTGTTGATTTCACAAAAAACTAGAAGGTAGGTGCAAATGTTTGAAGAACCTCCTACGTGTAACATCTCAGAACAAGAATCACAGTCATGAATTTCCAGCTGATGACAATTCAGAGCTGATAAATTCTCTGATTCTTCAAATCTCGTGGCGAAACCCGACAACAAACAAGCACCTCATAAGTAACCGACTCAGGATCTGAAACTGAAGCCGACTGATGCCTACAAAGCACAGCGAGGCCACGAAGAGACGTCACAGCTCAGAAAATGGTGCTTAAGGGAAATGCGGTAATGTAGAGTTGTGGACAGATGTTCAAACTCAGTCACCAACAATATGTTTGGAAAACAAAGAAGCAGTGTTCAATGAAAAGAACACCTTTAAAGTTGCTACTTTAGAGTAGAAATACTTTATTAACCTTGTAACGCCAAATGTTTTTTTTTAAACCTTTGCGTCGTCAGTGTGATATTCTTTCCCTGAAAACCCTGATGTATACAATCAGACACAGATAATCTGCCATGCATCAGTAAATCAAGCCCCCAAAATGCTGGATGTAGCAAAAATTATGCAAATTAATGTTTAAATATGAAACTTGATGTATATATATATTTTTTTAAATTTATCGGAAGGTTCAATAAACAATACTTTTTTTTTTTTTTTTTTTTTTAAAGAACTTTCTAACAATTATTTCCTGGTTCAGGCTTTACTGGGTGAATCCTTGAGGGGAAATTCGGTTGTCACAGCAGAAAGAGTAACGTTAAAACCACCGTAAATAGAGATAAATAAGCAAAAATTTGCAATAAGTAAAATTAAAATAAACATTTTGCACATTGATGGAACATCGTGTGACTGAGATGCTGACGTGGACAATAAGCTCCACAGCTGACATTAGAAGTGACGGGGAAAGTTGTTTGTCTGCTTTAAGTTATTGATTATCCTTCATGTTTGAACGTGTGTTTGTCTGCAGGTATGTCAGTATCAGCTCTTTGTGCTTCAGCCCCGATGGTCAGTATCTGTGCGCTTCCAGCAACACAGAGACAGTTCATATCTTTAAACTGGAACAACTGGGACCAAGGTACACACACGCGCACACACACACACACACACACACACACACACACACACACCCTAGTGTTGGACTTCATTTGTGTTTAACATCAGAAATGTGTGTGTGCAGTGGAGAGGACGAAGCTGCCACCTGGACAGCATACGTGGGGAAGATGTTCTCAGCAGCCTCCAACTATCTACCTGCTCAGGTGTCCGGCATGATGAGCCAGGACCGGGCGTTCGCCACCGTCCACCTCCTGTCAGCCGCCCAGAGGAACGTCTGCACTCTGGCTGTGTGAGCGTCTCTCTGTTCTTTACCTTCCAGAGGCTTTGCATTAATCCTGTTCTCTAGTCGCAGTTAAGACCTCGAGAGAGATTTGACCGTGACCTCCACACGTAGATTCAGTGCATGACTGCAGCGCTACCAAGTTGATTTTGGATCCTTTTATCACTTCTTGTTATTTTTTAATTTGCAATTCTGAAAACATGCAGGTCACATTAGCAGCTTTGCATGTATAGCTGGTTCTGATCAGTGGCAATAGATGTTATCAGATGCACGAATTAGCGAGACAGAGAGAGAGAGAAAGATGGTGGACGAGATAACGTGACTGAGAACTTGTCATCATCCTAAACTGTGAGGATCGAGCAGCAGAGTTGGACATGAAGAACTTTGGACGACGTGATTTAACATTTATCTTGCAAAATGGCGTCGATGCACGAAGCATAAGCGAGGATCCTGCAGAGCAAAGATCCTTTTTAACCGTCCTGTTTTATCACATTAACCATCAAACGAGCAGCAAACATGACAAATACTCATCGAGCTCTTCGGCTCATCCATCCATCCATTATCTA